ACAGTCAAACTTCATAAATTTTTATCCATATCAACATTTTGAACTCATATATGTCATTTGATCAAGTTTGTACCACAATTCTTCAAGAAATTTGATCAGATCATCAAAAGGGCAAACTGGTCAAAATTAGGGTTTTGACTGAGAAAGGGCAATTTCTGATTTTTGACCTAGAAAATGGTTTATTGGTTTGAGACATGATCTCAAGGTTTCAATTGCATCATTTATTATCTAATGGAATGACTCAAAACATCCCTCAAGATCAATTGATTGATAGTTGATTTTCAGTCAACTGATCAAAAGTACATTGTACACTGAAAAGTCAAACTTTGACTTTTTGGTCAAAATCAAGTGTCAAAGATCACAATTCATCAAAACATGTCAAAATATGAAACTTGTTCATCAAGAAATCAAAAAGTCAAGATTTCATTTTGAAAAGTCAAAGTTTCCAAACTTAGAAATTTTTTGTGTTGAAAACTTCATATTTTTTCACAACTTTGAGCCAATTTTTCACCATGATGCAAGATGATTCAAAAGAAACTTTCAACATAAAAGTTGTAGATCTTCATGAGATATAAAACATTTCTTTACACAACTTCTCCTATAAATTCTTGGATCTCAAGTTATTAATCCATGAAGTCATGGTCATGAAACTAAAACACTTGGTGAAATTTTGAGCATTTTGGTCAGGATTTTGACCTAACTTCTGACTCAAGTTTCACATAATTCCATTTGGATTTTGAAAAAGTGATTCAAAGATGGGTTGTAGATAAAATTACAAGCTTTCTAAAAAGTCAAAGAACTCCTTGAGATCATTTGTGAGAAAGGAGAATCGACGGTCAGAAGTTAGGGTTTCAAGTTGTTTTACAAGGCAGAATTTCATGATGAACAAGAATTCAAATCATTGCTAGGCTGCACAATCTTTGCTTTGCAGGCTTCAAACTTGTTTGGCACTCCATAATTAAATGTTTTCATAACTGTAAGAGGCTTCAACTCAAGCATTCAATGCATTGCCCATGCTTATGTCCATTTTAGGAAGAAAGTGCACATTGCCATTTTGAAAAAGTAGCTTTATGCACAAAATCGGTTCTTGAGCTTTGCACTTGTTCTCTTTTGATCATACACGACCTATAATCCAAAAGAAATTTGTCTCAGGCCTCTAACAATTCAGCCCATGCTTGTACTTTACCTTGAAACCATATTTTCACTTTTCTTCATAATCAAGCAACATAAGCATAACTTGTACTTGTGTGATTCTGACCCTCCCAAGCCTCACAACCTTTTCCTTACTTATGCACAAGTCATTTGCACCAAAACACACGCATACACAAGCCTTCAAACTCCCTAGAACTCATAACTGTATCACCAATCACCATTGTTGCACATTCTTACCAAAAATTTGAAACTCACATTTCCCTTGTGCGTTTTCAAGCCTTTTGGTTCCTAAAGCTTCTAAGCATCAAATACAACTCATCTCTTACCCTGTTTCATAATTGTAACTACATCTTCATCAACCTCCATAACCAAAAATAGAGCTCTGCAGGTTGACTTCTCCATAACTCTTCAGCCACTTTCAGCTCAAGCCAAGCATCACATTAGCTTTCTGGGAACTTGAGGAAGCTAACCCAATCACTAGAACTCATCAAAATCTGCTCAAACTCAAAACATAATACCATCTTGCAAGGTGAGTTTTCTGACTTTTAAACTCTTCATATAGGCATCATTAATGTTTAATTTGAGAATGAAAAATGTAGATATCATTGCCCTAAAGTCAACCATGTCCATAGTTTTCATTTATGTTGCTTGAGCTTAGAGAATTTTAAGTTTGAAATTTTTGGAAAAGTTAGGGTTCAAATTAGGGCCAATAAAATTCATGTTTGTCTTTGATCTATAGTTTTAATGCTTTACATTTCTGAAATCGTGAGGAAATTTTCCACAAGATTCATGTTTACACTTTTGCAAAGGGATGAGAAATTAACAAGATGCAGGTGGTCTGGCTAGGCGCGAGGTTGAAGATGAAGTTGTCTTCAGGAAGCAGTTTCTAATATATATTTATGGTTTGACATAAGTTAACGGATGTAGTACCACCCCAGTGGTTAAAGTGCGCGCATGTAACCGGAGGGACCTGGGTTCGAGCCCCACTGGTACCCTTTTGATTCTTTTTTTTCATATTTTCTCTCTTTTTTTTGTTTGAAGGCAGGCGCTGGGCTCCCTTTGGTTGGGCCTGGTATTTTGCTTATCACAAACTCCCAAATTTAATTTCACCCCTCTTTGACTTTTTCTTTATATTTTATTTTATTTTTATTTTCTTTATTATTTTTATTATTATTATCATCTTTATTTATAAAAACCCAAAAAATATTTTATTTATTATTTTTACATTTATTTAGTTTATTTTGTTTTATAAAATCAAAAGAACAAAAACATTTCTTAATAAATTAATTTCTTTCTTAATAATTAACATTTAGGTTTAATTATTATATTATATTATTTTTTCTTGTAAATTAAAATCAATTTAGAACTTATGACTTTTATTTGATTAATTTTATTTACTAGTTTAATTAAATTCACAAAAAACCCTAAAAAAATTTGTTTTCTTTAATAAATTAATTTCTTTTATTAACTTAATTTTAATTTTCTTATTTTAGTCAATTATCTTATTTTAATTTAATTAGGTCAAGACTTTTAATACATAAAAAAAATCATTCCTTAACTATTCATACTTGTACATTATATTCATTTCATTTCTTGTACATTTATTCAAATTCAATATGGTTGTAATAGATAATTAGGGTTTTAATTTCTTGCAATTCCCCATTTGTAATTTATACACCCCCTTCCCTAAATGATGTAATAGCTTAGTATTTTTATTTTCCGCAATTTTATATTTTATATACAAATGCTAGTAAATTAGGGTTGTATGTAAAGATAAAATCAAAGCTTAGAAAAACCTAATCAAGACAAATCAAGCATGTAAACCAATACACTTGCACACATACACCCTTAGGGTAAATCTGCTTTGTTGCCTTACAAAATAGCCATATTATGCATGTGAGGTATCTTAGCAAAAAAAAATACAAGATCATAGTCCCTCGATGACGCTATCCATGTTTCCTTTCAAAATGATCTTAGTCCATAAAGAAAATGCTAAGATATATTACAACATTGCTAATCATGGCTATACGAAGACCCTTGCCCGTCCCTTTAACATCCAAAGATAGGGTTACTTACCAAATCTATGGTAAGATAACAATGTCAAAGAAAAGAGGAAATAAACATGAAAGACTTTTGAGTAGGTAGATTGTTCCTAATTGCTTGCTCAATTTCAAAACCAAAAACCTTTTAAACTTGAAAACATTTTCAAAAGATCAACACTTTTTATACATTCTTACAAACGAGAATCATTGCAAAGTTTGCCTAAACGATGATGCATTTTCAAAATACTTTCAAAAATCACACAAAGCATATTTTTAAACAAAAGCAAGTGATCTAGCAAGCAACTAAGAGCCCGTAGATAACTACGGATGAAAAGGGTGCTAATACCTTCCCTTTTCATAATCTATCCCCCAAACTCAAGAAAACATCTCAAATGTCTTTCCTGTTCTTTTCAGCATTTTCTTTTGAATAAAAGAAAAGTCGGTGGCGACTCTTGCTAACCGCAACATTTGCGATAAAACGCAAAACGACCAAGTCTCCTACCGTGTTACACATGTGTATTTAATGTTTTAAATTTTTAATTATAACTTTATTATTTTTAATTTTATATTTAAAATTTTCTAATTATAATATCCTTAGCATGTGCTTTTAGGATACATATTATTATGACTCTTAGAGAGCTATCTCTTTTAATATGGTATTAATATTTCCAATAGTTACATACGAATAATATTTTATTTATAAAAAAAATATTTTATTTAAAGATAATTTTTTTTAAGTATTTAATTTTCATTATTGGATTAAAATAAATATCGTAAGTTATAAAATGTTAAAGAGAATTAGGACTGATTTTTTCCAATTCAAAAATGAAATGATAAATGTGAGGCACAAATAAATTGCATGTGTGAGATAGATGGTAATGCAAAACTTAATATCTAGAATGTTCAAAGTGTATAAATTATATATTGGTATTTTTCCATATAATTTGAAAATTCACCTTAAGATTTGAAATTCGATTTTCAACTTCTACAAATTATATTTAATTTAAAATCAAAATTCTATCTTTATTTTATAAATTATCTTTTTACTTCTTCTCAGATTAATACATAATTTTGTCTTTGTTGAGATATTATAGACTAAAATCTCTGCAAGAGATATTATGAGTGGTATTCCTTTTTATATCAACCCCACATTCTCTTTTAGCATCCATACTAAAATTCTCTAGGCTTGCATGGGGTTGATGTCCCTGCTTTTGAGTTAAAGTTTGCCAAAGATCTCGTTGCTTATATCAAATTAGCATATGATTCATGAAAGGAATTAATCCAAAGCATGTTTATATTTATTTGAAAAAAGAAAATTTTGTTATAAACAAAATACTAACATATATTTGAGTCAAATCATTGAATTTGTACATACTTTAATTCAATTTAGATAAATTCACATTTGACAATAATTTTAATATTCTTATTAGTATAAATAATATATTTTATGATAAAGCTTTTACTTCAATAAATAAAAAATTAAGATATAAATTCACCCTAGTAAATCGGTAAAACTCAGTTACTAGAGAGAGAAAATCTGACTTTTCTCTAACTTTTATCCTTTTGCGTAGCTTTTCTCCCTTTGCGGTATGTTTCAGTTTGATCAGCACGGTTCATCAGAATGTTCCATGGACGAGAGTTGGTGCTAGAAAAGGTAGGCGGTCGGGGTCCACTAGATGGGACGTAGCAGGCAGCAGAGGAAGGAGGGAGAGTGCAACCTCTACTTTTTTCATCATAGAGTTTGGATATAAATGGAGCGCCAAAGACTTGTATTTCGAATTCAAAGATATGGGTGACATTGAAGAAATGTTTATACCACCCAAAAGGGATAAAGTTGGAAGGAGGTATGGGTTTGTTCGTTACTTCAATATAGCAGATGAAAGATTGATGGCAACAAAGTTGGACAACGTTATCCTCGACGGAAGAAATATTTTTGCTAACATTCCAAGATTTCAAAGGAGTGCAAGGGATCTTACGGTGTCTGGTTCTTTGAATAAGGAGAGATCAAATAATTTCGGTTATATTCCTAGGCAGGGATATGGTAAAAAAAAGGGAGAATGGCTCTTGTAAAAGAAGATAGAAGAACATTTGCTGAGGTTACTAAGAATCAAGACCAGAATCTTCAGGTAGAGCTTGGGGTTGAGCCAATCTTTTCTCTACAGATGTAGAAGAAATTAAATGCTTAGAAAAAGTTGTCGTTGGAATAATGAAGATTTCGGGTATGGCATTTAATATGAAGCAAATATTTCACGATGAAGGTATCTTCACGATTAGAGGGATACCATTGGGAGAAAATCTGTGTATGCTGGAGGATTTGGTTGAAGGAGATGTGGCGAATTTCATCAAGGAACGTAAGAAGTGGTGGGAGCAATGGTTTAAGATGTTTGGACAATGGAGACTTATAGATGTTGATGATGAGAGGATCGCTTAGTTGAGATGTATAGGTATTCCCTTCTAAGCTTGGGGGAAGTGTTTCTTTGTATTTATTTCAAACATGAAGGGAGTTTACATTGTATGATATGAGAATACTATGGCTAAGTTAAGGATGGACATGTCTAGAATATGTATTCGTACAAGGTGTGTGGATGTAATCAATGTGAAGTTTTCTATTACCATTGATGGTATGTCTTTTTGTATTTCTATTACGCAATTTAGAGTGCCACTCACAAATTTTCCCGTGCTTCTAACGGGAAGACAAGGAAAATTCTGGTTAATTTTCTAAGAATTTTCCCCAAAGGTATAAAGCCTCACATTTTCATAACCACAATTCCGGACATGACGTACATCTAGTAGCACTTTATTTGAAAAAATAAAATTTATTTGACATCATTAAGCAAAGAAGGTGAAGAGTTAACTCATTAAGCTTTTAGGTATCATTAATGTTTCATTTAATAAACCAATCTTCTTCTTTTGAATTAAATATTTTTTATTTAAAATTAAAGATGAATAAAGAATGTTATTCATTTCATATTGATTGGATGATTTTTCATTAACCGTGTTATAAAATGTATTGACCGACTTTGATCACAACGTTAACCATATTTATTTACTTTTAAACAATTTCATATATTTACTCAACTTGGTTCATTAACCATTTTATGAACTGTATTAACCAACTTGTGTGACACTATTAACAAACTGTATAATAAAGAATGTTATAAACTTGTAGTTATGTTTGGGAGTATATTAACCAAGTTATACACAATATTAACGATGTTTTTGCACATTATTAACCAACTTTGTTATAAATTTATGTTATACATCTAATTGGCAGATTTTGTGCAGTTTTTATGTCATAGTGGACACTTCAAACATTTTGATACATTATAGAGGTAGTCAAAGGGACGATGTAAAAGTTGATCACGATGATGGTGATTGTGATGACAATGATTCGCGTTGGGTTCTTGAAATTGGGATGTGTTTTTCTTGTGTAGAGAAAGTTAAAACATATTATCAAGAGTATGATTTAAAAAAGGGTTTTGGATGGAGGATTAGATCATCGAAAAAGGGAGATGATGGGGAGCTCAAATACCTAATACTTTCATGTTCAAGAGAGGGGTCTAACGTTTCAAAAATATCATGCACGTTAAAGACATTACCATTTAGAGAAAAATTGTCCTGCCAAGATTTGTATTAAAATGAAAGAAGATGGTTTATGGTACATTACAAAAGCAAGATTGTTCAAGGCCAACAAGAAAAATAAACTTACATGTGAGGAGAACAATCCAAATCAATGATGATGTGGGAGTAAGGATCAACAAGACTTTTCAATCGCTAGTTAAAGTTGCACGAGGACATGAAAATATTCCCTTTTGTAAAAAAGATGTGAGGAATTATATTAACAAAGAACGTCATGCAATTGAAAAAGAAGGTGATGGTAAGCCTTTGATAAGTTATTTTATAAAATAAGGGAAAATAAATTCAAATTTCTTCTATGACATATATTTGGATGATGATTTTCATGTGAGGAATATATTTTGGGCTGATGCAAGAAGTAGAGTCGCTTATGATAATTTTGGAGATGTTGTAACTTTTGACACAACATACTTGACTAACAAGTATGACATGCCTTTTGTTGCATTTGTGGGGGTGAATCACCATGGTCAATCAATATTACTTGGGTGTGGATTGCTATCAGGAGAAGACACAAATTCTTTTGTGTTGCTTTTCAAGTCATGGCTTTGTTGTAAACTAGAAAAAGCACCTTTCACTATGCCAAAACAGCTCTTAGGAAGTGCACTTTAGACATCGCTTGTAAATCAAAGCGATGCTATATGTCACGATAAAATTTAAATTTTAAAATTATATATATTAAACAGCGCTTTGGAAATAAGTGCTGCCAAAAGTTAAGAAAAAGCGCTACCTAAGCCTACTTTAGGCAACGCTTTATGAAAGCGCTGCTAAATATCAGGATAAAATTTTATATTTTAAAATATAAATATTAGACAACACTTTAAAATAAAGCGCTGCCTAAAGTTAAGAAAAAGCGCTGCCTAAAGTTAAGAAAAAGCGCTGCCTAAGCCTCACTTTAGTCAGCGCTTTATGAAAGCGCTGCCTAAAGTCAATTAAAATTGAAATAAAAATAAATAAATTCTAGAAGCGCTGCCTAAACTCAAAGCGCTGCTATAGGCCCAACAGTAGAAAGCGATGTCATAGGCCCAAAGCGCTGCTAAAGGCTTATTTTTAGAAAGTGCTGCTATAGCATTATAAGAAATTTGAGAAAAAGCGCTGCTAATGGCCTACTTTAGAAAGCACTTTTAAGAAGCGCTGCTTAAGGCCATAAGCGCTGCTATAGGACATACATCAGAAAGTGCTTTTAATTAGAAAGCGCTGCTAAAAGTAATACATCAGAAAGCGCTTTATAAAAAGTGCTGCCTAAGATCATTAATGTCTTATTTCTAAATTAAAATAACTAAAACCCTAAAACTCAGTTTTTGTTCTCATAACATACTGCACAAGGACGATTCTCCAACGACGCTCTACAACTGATTTCGTATAGTTTTTCCACAACTATTGTCCAAAAAAGATACTCCATTAACGATTTCGCTCACTTTAGTCCGCGATTCTGTTTTGTTTTCAGCAAATCTATTTTGTTCTATGCGATTCTGTTTTGCTCGATTCTGTAAGTTTTTCAATGCCATTATGTTTTCTTCTCTGCAATTCTGATTTCTCATGCATGTTTTTGGGCTGTGTTATTGACAAAAAAATTATGATGAATGTTTCAAGAAGTTTCTCATTGTTGTTGATTGTGATACTGGGATTTTGAGGTAATAAAGTTGTACTACTTTGATTTATATATAATGCATTGTGTTATAATCAAGTGTTAGTTGTTGTTGCTCATAGTTCTGTTTTGAATGTTTTACTGAGATTTTGTTCCAATAATGTTTTACCCCTTTTTCTTGTATAAGTTCATATATTTCGTAACTTCAACGCGATCCTGCTCATATATTTCTATAAGTTTTCCGCGATTCTGTAAGTTCTTCAACGCGATTTTGTTTTTCTTTTGTTATTAGGCCAGAGATATAGTTGTGAGTTGTGATATTCAATAGCTTGGCTTTCTAAAAGATCAGCATCTCGGGTAAGGAGTTTACAAAGTTAGGTTCATTAATATATTACAAGATACACTCAAAACCTATTTTGTTTTAAACATGTTTGAAATTGAAGTAGTGAACCTAATTGTTTATGTGTAGTTGCTGCCCGATTTCATAGCCGCTTTCACAATCTTACATTGTGTGGTTCCAAAAGTTGATGACTTCTCTACAAGTAATTAGTTGTTCTTTTGTTATAGCTACATGATTAATTATAGTATTTTTAGTAGTAAAACCATGGATAAAAAATGGGTGTCTTCCAATCAATTGTCAAATGAGTACGAGAATGGGGTATTAGAACTCGTTAAGTTTGTTGTCGAACATGCCGAAAACCCCAGTCGAATGAAATTTCCTTGCTCGGGTTGTTGTTATGGGGGTCGGGTTGACGCGGTTGGGTTGGAATCACATTTACTGAGGAATGGGATTGATCGAAGTTATACATGTTGGATATTTCATGGTGAGAAAAGTAACAGGAATGTTAAATCGGGTGATAGTATGTCATATGCTTTAGACGATAATGGTAGAGATACATATGATTGTGATCGTGTTGAAGATATTGCAGAAGCACTTGAAGAAGATCTTCAGGATTGTCCCAAAATATTTGAGAGGTTGGTAAGTGATGCATAGAAACCGTTGTATAAAGGTTGCACTAAATTCATAAGACTGTCTGTGATATTAAAGTTGTACAACTTAAAGGCGGGCAATGGATGGTCGGATAAAAGTTTCATAGAGTAATTAGTCCTTATGAAATATATGCTTCCAGAGGATAATGTTCTTCCTGATCGAACATATGAGGCCAAAAAAATGATGTGCTCTATTGCATGAGCTATGATAAGATACATGCTTGTCCAAATGATTGCATTTTGTTTGGAAACGAATATGCATTGTTAAATGAGTGTCCTAAATGTGGTTTATCTCGATATAAGAAAAAATTGTCTCCAGCAAAAGTCTTATGGTATTTTCCTATAATTACGAGATTTAGACGCATGTTTCATAGTGAAACTGATGCAATACACTTGACTTAGTGTTGTACCCCAAAATTTGCCCTCCCATATTCTTCAAAGATTTGCCAAGTCAAAGCTCCAAAATTCCCCAAGGGCTGCACAGTGCAAGGGCCTCATGAACAGTCAAGATTAGGGTTTGTGTTCTGATCAAGAAAATGAAGTTTCCAAAGGACCAATCAAGTCTCACATGCCTACAAATATGGTCAAGAATCCTCATATCAAGTTTCAAGACTTTCAGCACAAAATTGCACAGTCAAAAACCCTAATTGCACTACAGTCAACTGTAGGGGCAAAATGGTCATTTGACAGTCAAAAGTTCAAATTTTTGGTCAACATCTCATTTTGAAGTCACAAACATCATTTGATCAATGCTTGATCATGATTCTCAAAGCTTGGCTCAAAAATCATTAAGATGCAAAAGTTTCCTTATTTGGACAGCTGAAAAAGTCAACTGTAAATTGACCAGGGCATAACTTTCACATGGATTATCAGAAAAATTCCATCCAAGGCTCATTTTGAAGAGAAAGACATTTCTTACAACTCATCTTCATACTTCAAGTCCAAGAAATGCTCTCACAAAAAGTTATCAATTTCAACATTATAGGTCATTTTCAAAAGTCAACAAAAAGGGACTTTAAGTCAAAAGCCATAACTTGAGATTGGTAAATCAAAATGACATGGGACCAAAGGCATTGGTTATAGGACTCAAAGACCTTTCCAAAATGTCCAAGAACATGAGAAAAGCTTAAAAATTGAGCAAGTTATGCCTTGTGGAAGTTGGGAAATTTCTGGATATTTTGAAAAGTCAACATTGGTTCAAATGACCTAAAATTGCTAAT